GGCTGCAGACCTTGGCCCAGAGGCACAGGACGCTGAAAAGGAACTTTCCCAAAGAAGGGTCTCAGAGTCCAGCCCCACCAGACGAGGCTGGGGCTATGTCCCGAGACTTCCCATCAAAGCGGATCCTGACAGGGAACACTCTGGGCCTATTTAGTCCTCGCATCCCCATCTCGTCCCCTTCCAAACCTGCACAGGTTGGGGGTCAGAGGCTCTCTGCCGCCCTTCCGTTCCCAGGCTGCTTGGATTCGAAAGATCTACCATCTTTATCGGAGAGAAGTTGGCCTGGAGTGCCTCAGTCTCCCCGGGCTTAGTGAGACACAAGGCTGGGGCCAGCTCTGCAATGTCCTGGGCAACTCCTGAGGTCATCCCCCCAGTCACGCCCAAGCTTCTGGAATGTTCTAGGGGAATTCAGCTGCATCCTGGTGGGAAACTGTCCTGCCTCCCGGTTCTGACTACAGGTTTCATGGTATGAGGACCGCCCGGTGGCCTCGTCCCCTCTGTAGACCAGGCCTCAGTGAACAGTTCAGGAATCTTCAAACTGCAGGGCCCTGACAAAGGGCCACCGCTCTAGTGACAGTGAGACTACAACCATTTCAGAAACATTCTGTATCCTGGGGTGCCAGGGTGACCCCTAGAAACTTCCCCCAATTGGCTCTGTGGTCCTAGAAGCTACTCAAATACTTAGGATCGAAACAAGAACGTTCCATCTGCTTGTCCACCCGCTGCGGGGCCGGTTCGCCTCTCTGATGCCACGTGTGAGTGTTAATGCAAGGAAAATAATATTTAAATGAAAGGGGGGGAAATAGATAGTTTTGTATTAAAATATTTTATATTAATCATTCAAACTTAATTTTATACAACGAATGCATACATCGCCCAGATGTCTGTATCGGAAGGTGGGGGTCGAGGAGACATGGGGGTGGGTGCGCCTGGGCGCTGGTACGAGCAGGAGATGAGAGGCGAGGAGTCACCGCGCTTCCTCGCCTCGTCCTGTGCTGCAAATGGAGGAAGAGCCGGTGCTGTCACTCGACGGGGACATCACCACGGAGAGCAGGATCTGTGACAGCGGCGCCTCTCCGGGCCTCTCTGCCAGGCATGCCCCCAGAGCCCAAGGCCCTCTGACCAGCGAGTCCTTGACTTAACAGTGGCTGTGATGGGTCACAACGTGAACGGGGACTGCTGAGTGTGTGTGTGAGTATGTGTGTGAATGTGAATGTGTGTGTGTGTGTGTGTGTGTGTGTGTGTGTGTGTGTGTGTGTGCACGTGTGTGTGTGTGTGCAGACTGGCTGGAGTTTTCTCCTTCCGCAGAACCGCCCCTGGGGCCGTCCCCCCGTGCGCTGGTGGCGGGTGCCGGGCGCCTAGGCGGCAGGCATGTCAGCCTTGCTGAGCGCGATGGCCAGCTCCAGGTCCTCCTGCTCCTGCCGCCGCAGCCGTGCCAGCCTCTCCTGCTCTGCCTTCTCGCTCTCCCGCTTGGCCCAGGCCAGCTGCTGCTCCTCATTGCCAAACTGCAAAGGAAAATGGAGGTTGGGTTACTGGGCCCAGGAGCTGCAACCCGCCGCTTGGGGTGGCGCCAGGGCATGAGCACGCCTGGCGCATGCTGTCCGGGCACAGGGAAATGCAATGCTGGGGTGCACTGGGCCGGGGGTGGCGAGGGGAGGGGGGCTGCCTGGTGTGCACATGAAAAACCAGAAAACGCCAGAAGCCCGTGTCTTGCTGGGAAGCGGGGAGGGGACACGCACGGCCCAGTCCTGACCCACAGTCACATGCACCAAGAAAGGGCTGAGTCTGCCCCAAGCTACCACCTCGGACCTCAGAGAAACTAGCCGCCCGGCCCTCAGCAGGGAACCGAAGCAGGCAAGGCTGGGCATCCGTCTGGGGATGCGGAGGGCTCCTGCACGTCCCCGGGTCGGAGTCTGCGGCTTCGCGGGGGTGTGAGCGGGGAGCCCCACTCGGCCTCCTCTCCGGGCACAGCAGGGGCGTCTGTGAAGGCGGCCGTGGAGCAGAGGTCAGTTGAACCGAGGAGCTCAAACAGCAAAGCTACAAGGCCTGGGCCTCGATGACAGGCCGATCACACCAGCGGGTGGCAGACGCTGGGACTGGAGACTGTGCGCGGACAACCCGGTCTTGAAATGTGGCATCGCCGTCCCCAGCCACGGCCCAGGGAGCTCCAGGCCCGCTAGGCGCCACCTCGTACTTGGATGTTTATAGGAGCCCTGGCATTTACGCTGCCCATCTGTCCAGGAGTTCTTGATGTCCTTTCCCAAAAGGTCCAATTAAAAAGAAACAAAACCTTTTTTCAACAAGGGAGAAAACCATTCTGATACCGAGATGGGTGGTTTCAAACCATTCAAGGTACCTTAGCTCTACAGAAAGAAAAGCAACGCTCGATGTCACATGCTCTTCCCCAGGCCTCTGGGTCCCCCACGGGCCCCAGTCACACGCCCCATACCCCTGAGCAAAGCTGCGGCCTGTCCTCGGGCTCGGCCTCCCTTCGCCTCTCCTCCCAGCACTGGCTCTGCTGGCTCTCTGCTAAGCACCAGGCGACACCAAAGAAAAGAGGTGGGGCAGCCTCTGAAAGGCGCCCCTTGAGAGCAGACAGACAGACAATCCTGACCTGACACAGGCTTCGCAGAGGCCCGAACAGATCCCACCGGGAGCACTGGGGAAGGAAGCACGACAGGAATTCCCGGCTACTTCTGCACACCTATTGGGCCTGAGCGACAACCTGGGAGGGGAGCTCCTTCGGCAGGTGCGGATGCAGAGGGAGGCCTGGGGAGAGAGGTGGTGCCTGCAGAGCCCGGGCCCTCAACAGGATGGACTTTCTTTGGGTCTGGGTCCGGGTGGAGGGGTGCAGCACTGCAGGGTGAGAGGGGCTGCAAGGGGCTTGTGTGCAGGTGCGGTGGGGGTGGGGGCGCTGGAGGGAGCCTGGCCTGGACCACATGTGGCCTGGAGAAGGAGGTGGGGCAAGAGAGGAGGCCTCCCACCACCGGGCCTTGGGGCTTAGGAAGGGACGGGTACGGGGTCAGCATGAAGAGGAGCCGTCCCCAGGAAGAAAGGCCCAGTCCCAGTTTCTTAGAGAAACTACCCAGGAAAATGTTCAGGGCCTGATGGGTCTCCAGGTAGGACTCCCTGGAATCTGGTCCGCGCCCCTCCTGTTTCCATCACAGAAAGCCTCCACCCCCGCACTCTCTGGGGGATTTTCCAGCACCTCATCAGGAGAAAAACAAGGAAAAACCCACAAATACTGGCAGAAACAGCTTCCTAGTGCCGCTGAGAGCAGCAGGAGGGGACAGTGGAGTTGATAGGGACCTTGCCCTCTATCAGCCCAGAGGAGGGGAGGGTGAGGGCTGATAAGTAATGGCCAAGGCGACCGGGCCACAGCCTGGAAGCCAGGCCAGGAGGGGTTGAGCGCAGCAGAGGCCACAAGGCCGCACCCCGATTCCGCCCAGCCCCAGAGTCTCGGGATGTCCCTCCAGAGCCTCCTGCTCAAGGGGTCCCCGTTTTGAAAGGAAATGTGCTGACAGGAACATTCCAGATGCCTTCAGAGCAGACTGGGGTGGGGCCAGCTTCCGGATCAGGTCTGGAGACTCGCACCAGGCTTGGGATTTGTGCACACTTGAGAAGCAGGCTGGAGCGCCGTGTCCGAGAGAGGACCTGGAGGAGGAGGGTTGCTCGAGGCTCCCTCTGGGCCTCCAAGCAACAGAAGAGCATCTCCTGGCCCCAGGCGGGGGGGACCCCTCGACTAGTCCACTCTGGTCCTCCGACCCGCATGCACAGTGACAGCCAGAACCTGGGGCGCCCGTACGCGCAGCCACCCCTCCAGGAACGGCAGGTGACTCCTGCTTCACCCTTGCACCGTCCTGGAGCTGAGATGCAGGGCACAGAATGTTGCCTCCCGTGGCATCTCCTGGGCGGTTTTCCTCCAGCAGCCTCTCAGCAGAAACCCGGGGTTCGGACGGCTGTGCGCCCGAGGGCACCCCGGGGCGACTCCTCACTGGGCCTGAGGCTTCCGGGCCAGAGGACACTCGCAGCCACCTCCCGCTGGCTCACTCCCGCTGCTGGGAGAATCGCACCGAGCTGTCGGACGACGCCCGGCACGGTACATCCCTCGGAGAGTCGCTCCGCTCTTCACGCAGCCTTCCGGAAAAAGGAGCCATTTCGCTACCCTATAAAGGCCACTTCCTAATAAACACATTTGCCTGAGACAGAAAGTCTTGTTTTTAAAGAAATCTCGGAGACATTTCCTGTGAACAGCTACAAGCACAACTGACCCATTGATGGAAACTCGGGGCTCGTAAACGAGAGGCTTCCAGAAGGGCAGGGCTAGGGCGCCAATGGGAGGGCTGCCCACGTGTGTGCCGTCGGCTTCCCTTAACTCCAGCGCGGGCCACGCAGCTTGTGCGTGGCTGCCGGCATGTCCTGGTGGCACTGGAGGACACGGGCACTGAAGGAGTCACAGTGCCGATCTGCCGGGCAGCGAGAGACCTCTCCGTGTGCACGCAGGGAAATGCAAACACACGGCCTGAGGGTCCCACTCTAGCCTGTCCTGAGTTCGCACAAACCTCTGAGGTCCGGCAAACCAGAAACCACTGGCCAAGGCCTGGGTCCCCGGACGCCACAAAAACACAAAGGCATCCCAAGTGCCCTAAGGTGGCACAGGCCGGCCATTTCTGCATCACTGTATGACCGAAGGGGATGAACCAAGCCAGTCAGGTGTCCTGCCTCTCCCACACCCCAACCCCTCAGAGGGGCCAAATTCCGCATTCAGGGGCTTCCTCTGGAAAAACTGGGGCATCCGGAGCAGGAAAAGGGATTTTCAACAAAAAATAGCAGCAAGGCTACAAATGGGGCAGAACCTGATCCCCCACCAGGAAACTAGGATGATTCGATACTGGGGGTGTTTCTGGAATGACCAGAAATATCGGCCAGATGACAGCTTAAAACCTTGTTGTTGTTTTTGATATTCTCCCCCAACAGCCCCCGGGGGTGGGGTGGGGCACAGAAACAGAATCACGCATTTCAGAAAGAACAGCCATTTCTCCAAATTCCCAATCACATCTACTTACCCCTCTTGCCTACCCAAAACAAGAGTACCTGCGTCCTGCGTGAATAGCTCTCTTTTTCTCCTCAGCGTTTTCTATTTATTTTTCCACCCAAACACAAACGCAGTACTATTCAAGAAACCGTAGATAGAGTGCGTTTTGTTTCGGGCTTTTATTAATACCGTCGCCACAGGGATCCGTCCACAGTGGGCACCGGCTGTCGGCAAAATCGAGCTAAGTGGAGTCGTAAAACATTTACAGGTCGCCGAGGGCCGGGACCGCGCCCACGTCTTGCGCGACCGCAGTGACGCCACAAGACAGGCAAGCACGAGGCGGATCTGGGGCGAATCGGGTGCTCGCCAGGCACCGCGAGGGCAGGGCTGGTTTTAAGGACAGATGTTCTAGGAGCTGGAGCGTCTAGCAGACAACGCGTCTCCCACCAAACCCGGAAACAAAGCACTCTGCAAATTCGAACGTAAAAAGTGTGCCACAGACGGTGCAACTGATTCTGGGAAGACAACATCTGAAGCTCTCTGAGAACAAGGTTCTTGGTACCGAGGAAGGTACTGGAAACACCCCCACGTGACCGCATTTTGCAATCCGGAATCTTTTCGGTACCCCGAGAAAACAAGGGCTGGGCTTTCCAGAGCCCAGGATTAGCTTCAGAAAAGACACGTCACTTTGCTAAATGGCTCCGCGAGGGTTTGCGTTTGGGTCTGGCAAAGGGCAAAGGCCTTCAGAGCAGTTGTTCTAGGCTCGATTTCCTTCCGTCGTAGCTGGGGACTGAAATAAGTTCTAGAAAACCACACTGCTCTTCCTCCACATGCCCTGTCTGGGTCCTTCAATCCTTACTTGCTGATCAAAACGCCCTGTGGTGGGACCGGCCCAACTCCTGCACAAAGACCCTTCTGGAGACAGCGGAACTCTCTAATGGGACCTTTGCGATCTCGTGTGCATACTTTGGAAGCGTCTGACATCTCAGCTTCCATACATCCATGAGCGCCATGGCCTCCAGGCCACGGGCACGATACAGAGTCTACCAGGAAGGACAGAAACGGGCACGTGTGGCCGCCCTGCTGGGAGCAAGCATGCCTTGGTCACAGAGTACCCAAACTGCAGCTCTTTCTCTTTTTTTTATTGAGAAACTGTTTTTCTTACAGAAAAGCAGCAGTACAGAATAAATAACACAAGGGACAGCGTAGGGGTACCGGGACGTAGAAGCCAGGTTTGCCGTTTCAAAGAGACAAAAAAGAACCCCAGAGAAGCTGCAAGCGGGGTGGGGGTGGGGGGTTGGCGCACAGGGAGCTCAACTTACAGAGGTGAAGTCTGCAAAGCCCAAGGAAGAGGCTTTAGAAGGTTTAGCTGAAGAGGAGGGAGCAAATGGATCTTTTCCACTAAACGGGTCCCCAAACCCCTTTTTATTTTGGAACGGGTCACTGCTGTCAGCCCCGAGTGGCTGGAATGGATCAGGGGGCTCGGGAAAGTCTGCAGAACCAAGCTGGCTTACAGGTGTACTTTTACCTGGAAAGTTTAGGAGAAAAAAAAAAAAAAAAGGAGAAAAGAAAAGAAAAGAAAAGAAAAAAAAAAATACAAGTTACTGACCACAGACAGAACAGAGTCCTGACTAAGGAGGCGGGCGAGCACTCGCAGGGACACGCTCTCCTTCTTCGGAAAGGGCCAGAATGCCACTCCCCGGTGGGACAGATCCCAGGAAAATCCTGGACGGATATCGCTTTAGTCTCACCTTATCCTGCAGGCTTCACGGGTTTGTGGGCGATGCCAGAAAACCACTTCAGACACGCCCCTCCCTTCCCCACCCCACACAGCTAGAATGTACTGTCTTCAAGTTTACATGCAGACATGTTTCGAAGTGACTAATTTTAGTGGAAACACATTTACTATCACACCGAGTTAAAAAAAAAAAAAAGTCATGGCTGAGCAGAAAAATACACTGCAAGCTTCTAACAATAAAACAATGGGGGGGTAGTATTTGCAGTTAAAAAGGGGGGTGGATTAGTTTCACCATATGGGACAGAGTTAGCATTGACTGTGAGGGTCTGGCCTCTGCTGTCCTGAGGTTTACATCTGTCCTCAGCTCCCGCTTCTGCCCTTTTGTGCTGGTGGCTCCGAGGGCCGGGGTTTGGGCCTTCCTGGGCTCTTGCTGAGAGGGGGGCCCTAGGATGCCGGGGTCGTAGCAAGGCCAATCTCGACCAGCTGCGTGTAGGACAGATATGTTCAGAATTAGAGGGAACCTGGTACCATGAGACTATGCTTGGGGCTGTGGCCTGAGGGCAGGTGGCTTCTCCTGACAATGTGCCAGAATGTTCCACCAGGAATCAGGGGTCTCACCAGACCTGCCTAGCGACACTTGATGAGCCTTCAGCTCTGTCAGTTTTGTAGGCCAGGTTCCTGCCTGACGCCACTCATGCGCCAGTGAAGCACCAGGAGTGAGATGTTCAATTTAATCCAAGTAGCTCTATGTCCAAGCCTCAGGTTAGAGACTAGAGGAGACTTGACGTGATTCTGATTTGTCAGTCTAGCTGCTTATGCTGGTGTGCACCAAGAACCCACAAGCCAAGGGCCACATTCCACACACAACCGTGGACATTTAGCTGACATCCAGAAAACGCCCCCACGCAGCACCTGAACCTGGGACACCTGCCTCCTCACCCAGCCAGGCTCTGCCAGCCCACCTGCCAGCCAGAGCGCACACCTGCCCTCCCATCTCCACGCCCAGCTCTCAGAAGCCTCCTCTCCGATGCTATGTTTCTACGGGCCCCCAAATGTCCCTAAGGGGTCTGGGGCCACAGCTTGCCTCTGCTTCTTTTAGCTCTAAGACCTCAACAAGGACAAGTCCCTCAGCCCCAGCTGGCCTCAGTTTCCCACGTGTGAAGTGGGAGTGAAGAGGCAGGGGTCAGAGGAGTGGCTGACGCACGGGGCAGCACGACTCTGAGCCCCACCCCGAGGCTGCCCCGGGCTCCCGCACCACAGCGGGTGCTACCTTCTCGGGCACACGGCCTACCTCAGGCAGTGCCTGTAAGACTCACAGGGGCTGGGAGCGGGGAGGGGCAGGCTGGAGCACAGGTCTGTCTCTCCCTGGGGCCTCGAGTTGATTCACAGGCAGACGGGGAGCCTGATGATGGGTGGGCCCTATGCACTCGAAGAGTCCCCCCACAGAAAGCCTCTGCCAAGGCCCCCGGGTGTGCCCCACTGACACAGGTCACAGGACTACTCCCCAGAAGGGTAGTGCTGAGTCCACTATGCAACAGGAATTACAACTTCTCTGTCCCACAGCAACTGATCTGTCAAAGCGGAGGCCTGGGGGAGCCCCCCCACTTTCTGTACTGGTCGCGTCTCCACCGTGGGTACCTCCTCCCCTATCCATGACAGAGCCCTCACCTTCAAGTTCTCCGTCCAGCATCAAAGGCTCCTCCCCATGTTGTCGTCCCTGACGGCAGTTCTCCCACATCCTCCTCGTCCTAGTCCTTGGCCTCACACCCCCCCGGTCCCCCGCCAGGCTGCAGAGAGCAGGGAGCTCAGGATGCCCGCCACAGCTTCCCTGGCTTATTCCACTGGCCTTGAACACCTGCTCCCCCATGGCCACCATGCACAGCCAGCCTACTCCCTGGCTTAGGGATGAGCTAACAGATGAATCAAGGCCTCCCTGGCCCCCAAAACTGTGGGAAGAGGAGACAACTGTAGGGCGAGGCCAGCCCAGCAGTTTGCAAAACTCCAGGCTGTCTGCCTAAGAACAAAGGGGGCCCAGGCATACCCCAGGGGCACCCCAAGCAGGAGGAAGAGTGGGTGTGGGGCCAGGGTGCTCCAGTCCACGTGCCCTCACCAACTCAAGACACGCTATTTCTCTCCATAGCCACTGTTCTGCGCATGTGGCCCTTATCTCTCCTGGGTCCCTGGGAACCGCTCCCCTCCAATGGCTGCTCCTCCTCTCGGCTTCCTGCCCTGAAGGCTATCCCTACCCGGCAAAGTGGCCTTTTAACACAGAGCCGATGCCCATGCTCCTTAGATGTCCCAAAGGCTCGAGGCTGCCCTAGGAATAGCCCCCAGCCTCATCCACCTGCCCCCCTGCCCCGCCACCATGGCCACCTTCCGCCCTGGCCAGCTCAAGCCTTCGCGCCCGCTGTTCCCCGGCTTGGGAGGCCCCTCTTCTTGTGGGCGCCACACGCTCTGAGGCTGCCCCTCCCCGCTCTTGGCTGAGATGCCTCCCTGTCTGCCGCTCCGCAGCCCCTGTCACATTCTGTCTTTTGGTCACACGTGTATTTTTACTCTCGCTAGAATGGAAGCTCCGAGAGGTTGGGGCGCCACTGTCCATAGCTGTGTCCCCCTGCCCAGCGCGGGGCCCGACCCTTCAACTCCCTGGTGAATGAAGCTTTCCACTGCACAAGACCCCTGGCCCCCAGGCCGGCCTCGGGCCCTGCTTCCCCCATCTTGTGATGACTCCCAAAGGCCCCCAACCCCCACCAGCCCGCCAGGGCCCAAGTGGCACCTCCTTCCCTGGGAAGCCCCCAACTCGGGGTTTTTTTCTGGCTGGTCCCTCTCCCCAGGATGTGCTCCTATCCCGTCAGCCCTGAGGCAGGCCAGATCCACCACTAGAAAACCAGGAGCGGCACAGCAGCAACCCCCCACCCCCCAAACCTTGTTCCCAGATTCCATCTCCTAATCCACGAGGAGGGGTTATGGGTTGAAGGGTATCCCCCACAAATTCATGGTGTCATCTTCACCGCCAGCACCTCAGAACACGACTGTGTTTGGACACGGGGTCTTTGAAATGGTAGCTGAGTTAAAATGAGGTCCTGTGGGTGGGCCCTAGTCCAGTAGGAGATTTTGTAAGAGGAGGAGACCAGGACACAGACAGGCACAGAGAGAAAACGATGTGACGATGGCCCACTACCAGCCAAGAAGAGGGGTCCCAGAAGGAAGCAGCCCTGCTAACAGCCCGATCCTGGACCTCCAGCCCCCAGAGCCGTGAGATGAGGATGCGCTGCTGTGGTTTACACCGCTCAGCCTGGGCTCCCGCTCCGGCAGCCCGAGCCGGCTCCTACAGGGCCAAGAGAAGGACACCCTGCGTGGCTGCCACAGCAGGCACCGAGGGGAGGGGTCGACCCACAATGAGGCTGCCCGCTCTCAAGAATCAAGGTGTACGGGCTCGCCGATGCCAGTGAGCTGGGCTAGCTCGTTCGTGTGCCCTCCATGGAGGCTTCCATGCCACGAGAGCAGAGCAGCCGGGAAAACGTCAGGCCTGCAGGGGCAGGAAGAGCAACTCTGGCCTTTCACAGAAACCCCCCGCACAACCGGGACGTGGAGCATGCTCCCAGCTTGGGCACCTGCCCGGCGGTAAGTACATCCCATGCTACTGCCCGCTGATAAGGCCCTTCTGGGAGACTGAAGGATGCTCCAGGCCCCAGGGAGGAGCCCCTGGGCCCCCACAAGGAAACTGAGGACCCCGACGGCTGCACTCAGCCCCAAAAGAGCCACTCAAAACCCCTGGAAGCGGCTTGGTGGCATTTACAGCCTATGGATGAGGGCACCTTTCCCCTGGACCCCTTCATGGGTACCTGCCATCCCACCGCCTCAAACCCCCCTCTCTACCCACCCTCCCCACAGTGCAGCCTTGGGCCAGGTGCCACCCCAAAGAGAAGATACACAGCCCCAGAAGTAGACCCCCATGAAGCATACCAGGAGGCCAACTCCACCTCACCTTCCACACCCCACGCGGCGGCACCACCCAAGGCTGAATCGCAGGTAGACAAATGTGTTCCAAGTGAGGCCTGCTCCAGGGGCTCCTGGAGCACCCACAGCCTTTCCAGGGCCTGGGAATACTGGCCCTCATCTGCAGTTAGCCAATACGTGCAAGGACCCTCAAGACCACAGGCTTGGGGAATCAGGCCCAGGTTGCATGGGGAAGAGAAGCTGACCTCAGACGGCCTGGTCTTTATGGCCTGGCCACCCCCAGCCTCCTTCCCATGGCCACTTCTACTTTCCTGACCACCCAGTGTCCAGGCCGACAGACCCTCCCCCAGGGCTCAACTCCTCCCCTGCAGGGCTCCTAGTGCCTTGTCCACCTCCCATGGCACCAACCTTTCCTGCTCTGGCCTCCAGCACACCTGAGGGTCAGTTCCTCGTAGGCAGGGCTCAGTAACCAGCGCAAGTCAATACCACTCCCCGTCCCTGGTGTGTGTGTGGGGGGGGGTCCTCATGGGCTGGGTGCTGCCATACGAGAGCCAAAGGACTGTCCCGAGGGACCCAGGGAACCCCTCTGGTGAGCTAGAAAAAAGTAAGGCATCTGGCTTCCCTCCCTTGCAAGAAAGAGCAATATTCACTGGTGCATTCTTCGGTTGATTTGTTTTTTGTTTTTTTTTAATCAAAAACTAAAATGACAACGGACCAAACAGCAAAATTTGAATACAGGAAAAAAATAGAGATGCAGGCACGGGCTGAAAATCTCAGGGCATGGCACACACAGCTCCCGGCTCAGCAGAAATGCTCGACTTCTTGGAGCATTT